AAGGCCTCATGACTGGACCCCAGAAAAAGAGCCTATTATGTGCCAATGTTTAAAATAATCCACTGTCACAGGCAAACAGCTGTGACAGCCTTTAAATTCTGCTATCCTACCCCATTTAAAATGCTTGCCCAAGAAAGAGAAGCAGCTTTTAAAATCACTATACAGTCTAGAAAACATAATAAGGATGCTTTATGTCAATTATGTTTCAATTAACATTGCAAAGCCAATTTATAAGAAAAATGCTGGCCTGTCATTTACCATTTTACACTGAGAAAAAGCAGAAAATTCTTCAGTCACTTTGGACCTAAACTGGCAAAAGCTCTGCTTATCTGCTCTGCCTTTTAGACAGAACAGTTTCAAGAAATTTTATGGAACTACTTATAGGCTGTAAAGATTACTGTGTGCAAAGGTTCTTGCAGGATCAGAGTCCAGCATTATACTTTCATGCTTGATGTCATCAAAACTGAGCCTCCACTTTGATGAAAATTTCTCTACATAGAGTAGATAAAAATAAATTTAAAACAATACACCTCAATAAACAATGAGTCTTAATTTTAAGGAAATAGAATTTGCAACACCACAGCAGACAGTTAAACTGCATCAAAAGCATTCTTACATCCTGATGAGACATAAAGAATTTGCTATGATCAGAGCCTTGAATTTAACACAGAAGTACTGGTTCTCTAGTAACTCCAAGCAAAAGGGTTCCCGATTGAATTGTGCTACCATTCCCCCTGATTCCTCTCTATTCTTCTCTTCCTGAGTGTATTCAGTTCCCCTGAAACTACTTTAATAAATCTCTGTCTCATACTAACCTGACCACCCACAAAAAAAATCTCCATTGCATTTAACTTCCAAAAAGTTAAGACAGAAGTAGCAAACATGAATTAGTGTGCATTTAGAAAGGACTTGTCAAACAGTGCACCAGTTTTACTCAACCTGATCCAGTAGTGCTGATCCAGTAGTGCTGATCTACATACCCTTCCTTACAGGTGTAAGAAACTGTGTTTCCAAAAGTAAAGTTATCTCCTTTGATGACTGCATCTTTGATGGCAGGAGGGGGACCACAAGACACAATGTTGCAAGCCGGTGGTGTGCTGTTCCAGCTCCCTGAAGATGCACAGATAAGTACAGAAGGTCCCTGAAGGCTGAGACACAAAGACCATTATTAAGGCATCATTTCATTCTGGGTGAGGGATGGAGAGTGAAAGAGCTGCTTTGCTTTCTGGCTCCAGTGAAACTAAGGAGTCTTTCTCACTGACTTTAGTAGAGGCCAGAATCTCACGCTTTGCTCATGGAAAAACACCCCGATGTTATTAAAAAAGGCTGGTCTTCACATCACTTTGAAGAGCAAGCTGGTGGATTTTGTGTGAAGACTCAAGGCTCTCAAGGCAGACACACACAATTTCTGCTGCAGCTTTGCCCCTCTTTGAACACAAAAGAAATACTTGTTTAACCTTAAAAATTTATTTGTATGCCATCAACAACCTGCCAGTCTTGAGACTTGCAACTATGCTCCTGCCTGAGACCTGATTCACTCAACGACTTAAAACACTATCTTCAGCCAGGACACTGAAGGAAAAGCTCCAGTTCAAGTCTGTTCACAAAAAGGCATTCAGTTCCTTCAGGAGGTAAAGGATATTGCTTGAGTGAATGGCCACACACATTTGAAGTCGATGATATTTTTTGGTTTCATTATCTGAGTTGGAACAGGATTGGTTCAGGTGGTGTGACTCGGATGTCTGAACAGAGTGTGAAAGACTTCTCTGAGATGACTCTTGTCTCCAGCTGCTATATCAGCTGTCTATGGGTTCCCTGTAGGGCCCACATCATATCTGAGAGCCCTACATGGGCGTCTCTGATTCCCTACAATTTGGTGTCAAATGGTATTAGACCCCCATGTTTAGCTGAAATAAGTTAATGGAACAGAACAGTGACTTGTAATGCTTTTACAAATTTGGTACAGGCCCTTGTGAGGAAAGTAGGGCTTTGCCTACCTGTGGCAATATGTTTAAGACTAAAAACACCTAAAAGGTGCTTGAAAGAAGAGATTGGGTCCAGAAACAAAGCATAAGATGGACACTGTTTGAGAGGGCTTCCTCTGGAGTGGTAACCAAAGGAGAGAGGACCTCTCTCACCTATGGTAGACAGGTAACGACAAAGAATCAAAATTGATGTGGTATTTGCTGCCTGTATGTCCAAAGTCCACAGTCAAAAAACTCATTGCACTGCCTGGTTTAGTGGGGTACAGATAAACCCACAATCTATGGGTTTATCTGCAAATCTATGACTTAACACTACACTTAACTGCAGCTGAGTTATCCATTTGTACTAACAAAATTAAAATATTCACCAAATGAACACACTTCATCTACCTGCCTGCATCTGGACAAGGAAATGATTGCAGCAGGAAAATGTCATCCCTAAACAGGTCCATATGGGACATTTATGTCAGAGCATATCTGCTAGAAGTACAAGCAGATATGAGGGGAGGCAGAAACCTGCATGTTCAGTCACATCCTTGGATATAGGATTAATGTGTTAATTTTTAATTGCAGCATGTTAAAAATATGTTTGCAATATAATTGCTTACAAATGTAAAACAGAACAAATACTTAGAATAAGTTACTAGTACAAATTGTTAAAGGAGTAAATTGTTAACTTCCAGAAAGTTCCTTCACAAAAGGTGCTGAAAAGTAACAGCAAAAGTAATATGAACTACAGTTGTAGAGGTATAATGATCTTCAAAGGCAAATGAGAACTTTCAGAAATAATAAAAACTATTTTTCTGAATATTCAAAATATTTTTGTAAGTTTAATGGTAAAATGAAAAGCATAACATATGTACATAGCAAATCCTGAGTGACTTTTCTGAACTGCTCCAGTTCAGGATAAAATACAAAAAGTACCCTCAAGGTACAAAGAAGTCTTTTCCAATTCTGTTTTAGTATTTTATTACTCTGAGCAATGATCACAGCTTTTTTCTTTCAGATATAAGTCAGACCTAACAAGTATGCCACCTGCATTTGGCTCAGGCACATTCGTGCATTTACCTGTATCCACTGTCACAGGTGTATGATACAGAGGAAAGATAGGCTGTGCCACTGAGCGTGTACTTTCCATTGCTGATATCCTGTGGGCTAGGGCACGTCACCATTTCACAGGAGGGGGGAGCATGACTCCAAATGCCACTAGCAAGGCACAGAATTTCCTTTTCACCCACCAAGTTGTATCCATCATTGCATCTGCATTAGAAGAAAAGAAGTGCTATCAAACACAGGGCCTTTTGTGCACAACATAATCAGCCATCCCTTTTTTCTCATCATCCACACCTGCATAAACCATCTTTCTTTTCAGGAAATAGAGAAGTAGTACTGGAGTAAACATTCAGCTCTGCTAATGAACAGCCACTCTATAACCAAATGTCTTTCCATTATTTTAATCCCATCTTGCTCCTCTCCTTCATTTCAACCAATCTCTCAATTCAGCCATACTCTTATTTGCTGCCAGATTGTCAATCAGTTATTAATACAGCACTTCAAACATACTGAATTCCTACCTGTACACCACCTTATTATGGTATGTAAAATTTGAGCCAAAAATGGCACTGTTCTCTGGAATAACTGGATCACCACAGGATATAGCTTTAAAAAGACAGGAATACAAGAGAGGTTGATATAACACAAACACAAATGAACAAGATTAGGATTTGCTTTGTTTTCTCTGAAAAGATTTGAAGAAATATAAAGCCCTAGGTAACAATGAGTTCTTGACTAATCTGTAAGTGACATTTAGGACTCTTTATCTGAGTTCACCTTACTGAGAAACTGAACTAATTGGAAGTAGGCAGTTATAACCACGCTACAAACCACATGCTTGATTATCAAGAGGAGTCCATATCTACCTCTCTCTATGGACAAAGTAATTGTTTTCTTCCTCAGACATTCTTTGTCAACTCTTCACTTTACCTGTTGCTTCATCTCATTTGTTCTGGTTTTCTAAAGAAACAATTTCTGCTATTATACCATGACTATGTACATGCATCAGCCTGTCCTTCCAGGTTGCTTTTAATCCACTGAGACAGTTAATGGTCTTTAAGTGATTAATTGCTTGAAAATGGAAAGCTGGGTGGAGAAGAATTAGAATTAGAAGAACACTTCTAATGCTTGCATTAGACTGAGTCTATACCTTTGACGCACTGGAGAATCTGCGTAAGAGAGAACCACTACAGACATGACAACTGTGCTTATATCTTAAGAGAACAAAGACTTCAACACTGACATCCAGATCTGCTAGGACAGGGTTTCATAAGCTGCCATGGTCTCTAAAGGCTCTTCACTATTACTTTTCCCCTCCCATCTGCCTAATGTTAAAGTCACATTTCAGCATGCATTACCCCTAGGAACCAACCTTCACAATAGGGTGTTGGGTCGCTCCACTCTCCAGACTCCATGCAAGTAAGTTTCATCACTCCTGTCAGCTGGAACCCTTCTTTGCAGGAAAATGTTACTTGACTACCAACACTGTAAGTATCCCCATGTAAATGACCATGCTCTGGATTTCCTGGATTATGGCATTTCACAGGTTCTGAGGAAAAAGAGGGAAACTACAAATAACATACTTGTGTGTCAGGTTTTATGAATAAATTACAAGAGATATCCTTGGGAATTTGCTGAAAGTAGAAGGCAAAGCATATGGAAAACACTAAAGTAGTTTACATAAGAAATTTACAGCCTTCTCTCTTTTATATGTAAATGACTGAAGACTCATGCAAGTAAGCTAATCTCCAAGTTTAAAGATGTGGAAGAGCCCTCTGTAACTGAGTTTGCATTCCTTATCAGAAGCAAACATATCTTACAGTAATTTCTCCCTCTGTGAGGGAAAGCCCATTCCAGCATGTCCATCCCTGAAAATGAAAACTGCTCAACTACCTTTTATGCCAACCTATGCCACTGTCTAGTTATCTTCTTCCAAAGTTACCTTGTTTAATGTTTCCACAGGTAGCTCTAGCCCTACTCAGAAGCCTGTGTTAAAATGTTTCTTCACTGCGCAGCTCTGCTCTGAGAAGTGAAACACTGTGGCCTTCCCAGGTCTTGCGCTCAGCACGCAATTAGGTTTTTGCATGTGTGTATGCCTTGGAGCAGCATCCCAGTGACAGCTGTATCCTCACAGAGAGGTGAGTTTTCAAGAAACAAAAGGAGACACTATCACAGCCCTATCCAGACTAAACCGACCTGGAGATGAAAGCATGCCTGTCCCAGATATCAATTGTTGTCTCGCAACTGGAAGGCAGGATACTGGCCTATATAGAATCTTGGAAAGGCTAGCTGGATGTTTTTCTTTCCCATACCTGCACATTTTTTGCCATCTCCCGTGTAAGGAGGGATGCAAGTGCAAACATAGGATCCGTTCGTGTTGAGACAAGATGCGTGCTCATCACAATCTGATCCAACAGCGCATTCATCAACATCTGCAAAAAACAAAACAAAACAAACCCACAAAACCCATGTCTCTAGTGTGCTATTTGTAGCAAGCATTTGCTTTAAATTTCTGTCTTACTGTCAAGAGGAATTACTTTAAGTAGTACAATTAAAAATCGCTTACTGCAATCACATTTTTCATCCATTGGTAAAAATACTTAATATTTAAACAAATATTTATAACTCACTGTAAAGTTGCATTGTAATTTTAATTATAATTTACTCAGCAGTACTGCACAACATGAGAAAATCAGAGATACATGTTACTAACTTTCAGTCACTACTTCCACATAAAGTATCTGGTTTCCAAACTGCAAAAGAACAGATATTGTAACTATTGTACTACTAGTCTGCGTAGACATCCTAAGGAAGGATTTTTGCATTAAACTCTTGCTTGGGAAATCCTCTTGATCTCAACCTTCCTACTTATAAGACAGGAAAACTTAGTCAAGAGGAGAAATACTCTGAAAACATTAGAGCCCCATCTTTGATGAAGCCTCTAATATCTTAGACTAGGCCCAAAAAGAGCCTGCAGTTGCCAGAAGTGTTAAAAATAATTCAAAATATATTAGTTACTATAAATCTTTTAATCTAGACAAGGATTAAGTAAGAAAACAACCCTGGTATGAAAACAATGAGTCAAAATTGCAAAGAATCAATTTCAAAGTATCTAATTGAAAAGTGCTGGCATCAGGGATTATTCTTCTCTATAAAAATGCTTGTTTCATACTATTAGAGAGAGGCAGAACAATTCTTAATCTAAATGCCCTGCTACAGGACCCTTGTTGATCAAGGTATGCCATGCAGACACACAGTTTGTGTTCTTTGCCCATTTCCAGTAAAAAATCACTGGTTAAAAAAGCAAGAAAATTTACTGAATTGGAGGGTTTATTCTTCACTACTGGATGAGTCTGATCAGCATGAGAGGACACATTGAAAAGAAAAGGAGCTTCTTTCTGATATGCAGCATGACAGCTGCACTGTAATACCCAGAGAGTTGCCAACTACACAAGTACCAGGAGAATGCAAAGTGCTGCCACAGCAGAACTGGAATGACTGCTTCTTCTGTAATGTCTTGTTAGGCAAGAGACTTCCAGTGGGGTGGAACTACACAGTGAATCACACCCTAACAGAACAAAAGGAATGCTTCAGGGCATAGGTGTGCCAGGATTTGCTAGCACCTCCCTGAAGCATGAGTCAGAAAGGTAAATGGTGGGTCAGGGTGCCAAATCCACTCTTGTTTTCATTTTCCCATAACGTAGCTCTAGGAGAGACAAGGCAAGCTGGAAGGTGGGGTGCAGGCTTTTTCCTTCTGAACGTTGTGACTCCTACAGCATGGAAGTTGAACTATTTGGACAGCCTTGACGTACCTGGGATGATGTTTTTAGATTCTGAAGAAGTGCTGCTGGACAAGACGCTACAAAACTAGAGGGATCCTACTCCAAAGAGAATTTTGGCAGAACTAAAAGACTTTGGTATTTTCTTTTGCTTGTCTTGACTGAAAAAAATATGTGCTATACCTACAAAGAATTAGGAGTCAAACACAAATCTTGCCAGTTTTTTTACCGCGCAATTCCCATGGCTATGATCCAGCACAATCAGATGCAGCAATCCAAGTACAGCTAGGTAGTGGATTTCAGCAGGGGAATGCTGGAGACATGGCCCTGCAAGGCCAGTGACACCTAGTCCTCGATACACAGTCCAATGCCAGCCTCTCACACCTTCCAGCTTGTGCCACTGCACCTGGCACATCAGACCCAACTGACCAGCGAGTAAGTTAAGGTGTGGCAACTGCATGAGCTGCGGTCACAAATGTACTCCCAGGGCTCTCAATGCTGCAGCTGCTTCCTGGCAGGCATATCTGACTCAGCAAAAAAACCCCACAACAGAAAAAAAGTTCAGAGAACACTGGCAGAGGTGATCTGCCCATCAAGTTAGGGACTAAGGAGACAGCAAGGTGGTCTTTTGTTCAGGTAAACATCAACTAACAGTTGAGTGGATCAACCGACAGTGTAAATGCTTCTCCTTGAGCTCCTTAAAGAGTGTGAATGTCTTCTGAGTTAGCCAGACCAACACAGAGGAGTGGAAATGAACACATGGTCAACATGAGGTATAAATGTCAGACAAGTACCAATGGGCTTGAGCTGGCCTTAACTCACACATTCATTCCCAGCTACTGGGGATGTGCAAGGTCATGAGGGTGAACATATTACAGAGCTTGATAATACAACACACTGGAACTATACCTAAACTGTGTATTACAATTGCTGTATTTTATTAAGTAACTTGAATTTGTTTCTCTTGTGCTATGCAGTACATTTTGTATCACTCGGCTTGACTGGAAATCCTGTGCAGTATCTACTGTCCTCAGGTCAGTAAATCTGATATTAAATACTACAATGTCCATGTGTGAAATATCTAAAAGAACCTGGTCAGAGAGCATAAGACACTGACAGCATGCTGGAGAGCAACAAAATACACAGGTCAGAAGCACAGAATGCAAGGATTGCAGGACATGGAAGGAGAAAGGTTGGGAGTGCAATGCAGGCCTATATAATTTTATATATATTTGATAAAAGCAGGATGTGGGGCACACAAGAGGATGGACAGAAAAAGGTGATAGAATGTAGTTTTGGTTTCATGTAAGGCTGAGCATGTTATTTCAGAAAAATGAATATTTTGGACTGTGGGATTGTGGTTAGCCTCCACAATTTCAGAATGAATGTTTGCTCAAACCTAAGGGCACAGGAGAACTGTGAGATTGTCAGTGCATGCAGCCAAATGTATGACACTTCTTACCAAGGCATGATGGTGAAATGCTGTTCCAGCTTCCATTGTCCAGGCAGAGCATCCTGGAGTCACCCAACAAATAGTAGCCACTGTTACAGTGATAGGTAATAGTACTGCCAGCAAAAAAGTCCTCAGCTGAATAATATCCATTTTCTAAAGTTGGAGGCACTCCACAGCTGATTCCTGCAAGATGGGTGAAAAGAGGGCACAGGCATTAGCAGAGCAAACACACATCATCTTCAGAATAATTCCACATGAGAGCCATTACTGCATGTTTTTCTCTGCAGCTGTACAATCCCATTAGCAAGAGGGCCCAGTCCTTTTCTGAAGTAGCTAATCAATTCCAGGTCTAGTGGAGGGTCTTGTTTTCTGGGCATTTTTCAATAAGAGTCTTAGAGGACTTTCCAGCTTCTGCTAAGAAAATTTTGCTAGCTCTTGAGGAGACATCTGTGGCTGAGATCTGAGCAGATGCCCTTCAGTCACAGAACACTTCTGATAAGAAATAATCCTTGGTGAGTTATAAAGAAAAAAGAAAAGTGAGTTTGTCTTGTTGTTACTTCCCTTTGCTGAAAATCAAGCTCAGGATTGCTGTGCTTAAACACTGCAAAAGTAGCCAACAGAGACTGCTAAGAATTACAGTCCTGGCCTGAGATGAGGGAGTGCATGAATGATGGAGAGACTGGAGCTGACTTCACATACAAACCTGGCCATCCCTTAGATTGACTATAGTAAATAATCCCATCTGATCCCAGTTGTGACAGCAGAAATCATCCCTGTACCTGCCTACCAGAGGTTTTTATTTATTCTAGCAGAGTTTCTTCTATGCATCTTTACCTCAATCAAAAAGGCTTAAACTTATTCCAACAGCTACACAGGTCATCTTTGTAGATACACAGGTTACAGCAAGTCCTAGTACCCCAGCTGCATGCAAGGATCATGCAACAAGAATTTAAAGCCTATAGTTATGGAAGCCAAGTACTTGCTGGGAAGGAATAGAGCTGGAGAGTTTGTAACAAAGACAGGCTCTCAGGCACCTGTGGTTTTGGAAGTGTTTAGCACCAAGAAGAGGAAAAGGATTCTGGTGGGTGAAGACAGTGATTACACTAAGCCTGATTCAGTCAGTACTTTTTCAGGGCTACACCATTAGTATAAACCTGTAGTTCATTATGCAGGAAATAGGTATCTTCAAGTAACTTTCATTCATCAGGTCCTTGTAGAACAGGTACCTTAAAGGCCAATGGGCAAGTCTAGCCTTCATCTACTCAGCCTGTTTGTGGCAGGTCAGCCCTCTTCTGTCTCAGTTCTGTGCTCAGCAGGTAAAATTGCTTGGCCCAATGCAGAGAAAACAGAAACACTAACAGGATTCTGGTGGTTATTGCAGCTTACACGCCAAGAAAGTGCAAAGCTGTTTCTGCCAGTGAGCTTTCCTTCTGCCCAGCAGGACTTGCTTTTGGGTAAATCCTCATGGGCATGCTGTAATTTATACAGAAGATGAGACTTTTGCTACAAATTACTGAATAAAGAGGAAGACATTAAAATTTAGATAAAATTATTTTAAAGGCATTTTTAACAAATTTGATGATTTCCTCCCAACTACATATAAATTCTAGGATTATGCAATATCTGCTTCTGGAGCTAATTTTCTATTCTGCTGAAATGAAAAATGTAATCAGCTCCAACACAAGCAACTGCAGTCATATGGGCAGTCACAACAGAGGAGGACCAAAGGAAAGGGGAAAGCAGGAGCAGGAATCATATAATCAAAAGAAACTTGGCAGCCTGAATGCATACAGCTCAGTTTCTTTGAAGAAATCCGATAAATCTTGGTGCATTTCCAAGCCCTAACAGAAATGTATGCAGCCTATAAAGACATTAGGTCATAATTTACTCAAGTCAAGGCTTCTACTTCAAACCAGACATTCTCAGTGACATCCAAAAATCACAGAGATATTTTAGCATTTCCTGTGCATCTTCCACACTCCTAATGCCACTGGGGAGGAAAGTACCAGACTGCTGATCCAAATGGACTAATTTCTCTAACAGCCATGGATGTTAGAAACTGGCTGAAAACATGTAAGAACATGGTCATGATACAGTTTCTGCTCAGCAAAACATGAGCTTAGTTTTAAGCATACATGTTTATGCCGTAACATGAATGGATACAAGAGCATGATAGCTGCAAAAAAACCCCAGGCCATGAATAGTGATAGGATCCAAATAAACACCAGGGTTTCCTAATCCTGCCAGCTCACTGAGACAACTCACTTTCACATCGGGGAAAAGGCCGTGTCCACTGTCCCAGGTTAAGGCAGTGTTGAACAGAGTTTCCCACTATCTGGAATCCTGGGTCACAGGAAAGGCTCACTTTTGACCCTGGCTTTAAATCAGCAGAAGAGGCCCGCAGATGAGGTATGGATCCTTGCAAAGATGGACAATCTGTGAACAGAATATATACATTCAGTAAGAGGTACAGCTACATGCTGAAATGAACAAACTGGTTATGTGATTGATCCCGTATAAATTTACTCAGGAAAAAGCTTTCAGAAATGTTATGCACGTTACATCCCATGGGTCCAAAGGGTTTTGACAATCATCAACATATAAAATCAGAAAAGGAATCTACAGAAAAAGAAGCAAGGAGGCAGCAGGTATTTTAATACCATACAATAATTATTAGAATAAAAGGCAGGAATTTTTTTTTCCTGGTCCACTACCATCTTCACTCTTTTCCCATCTCAATTCAGGAAGCAATACATTTTTGTCATAGATTTCAATGAACTTTTGTTACAAAACCCTGGAATTTGAGGAATGAAGGACTGCATGTTCTAACTGTCAAATAATCAAAATAATTTATTCAAGGTTAGTAGAGCAAAGGCTGCAAGTTTGCTAGTTGACCCCATATAAGAGCCTTATAGTGATGCTCAGAAAAAAATGGGTTCTAGGAAGTAAAGCTCTAACCAGCACAAAATATACTCTTGTAATCTATCTTCACTCTTCCAACAACTCCTGGCAGGAAATCTGGCCAGGCTAGTACATTTCCTTTTTGCAGTTCTTCTGGACAGGATGTAGCCAGAGATTCTACCTATGGATTTAAAAAAGTTGGTTAGATATGTTTGAGGACAGTGTAGGAAAAGAATATTAAAAAAAATATTCCCTTCATGCGTGTATGCAGCACTAAAACAGATCCTTGAGGGAGTAATGCTCATCTTTTCTAGCACAAGAGGTTCCTGGCTGAAGTGCTTATTATTCTGTTCTTATAAGCCACCTAGATATGGCTGAGTCACTACCTGAAGGACTACTTGACATACAAACAAGGTATTGAACACAGCTCTTGAGACACAATTGCATTTGTTACTGTAAAAGAAGAACACATCTACGTCACACCAAAAGACAGTAATGAGGCTGCAACCTGAAGAGAACACTTATCTATTTGCAGAAAATGTCAAATAGAAGCCAAAAAGAACTTAGTGTTCAAGATCTGTATCCTGAAAACTGCTAGCCCTGCACCATATATAAAGGACAGAAACACAAAAAGAAGCTTAATAAGGTAATTAGTTGTTTCCAGAACACGAGTTTTGTGAACTGAATTAACCTGACTCTGTATAACACTGTAGGCAAGGCCCAACCAAAGTGGGATGGGGACATAAGTAATGGAGTATAGAAACAGGAACTATATAGGCCAGCTAAGTACAGGAGAAACAAAGGACCACACTATTAGACCAACAGCAGATTAGTATCTTGAAAGAAGATCTGGCCATATGTCTCTGATAGAAAAGTTTTCTCAGATGGGTGATTGCCTTCTGTCAAGTTTCCAGCAGATAAATTCAACCAAGAATAATATTCCACAGTGTCTGTCCTTGTGAGACAGAAAGGTACATCATGAACTTTGGAGTGATCTGTTCTCATATTGTCCCTACTCTGAACCCATTGAGGCTGACTGGACTTTTAGCAGTCAGTTAGACTTTTATACAGTCAGTATAGCTGGAGAAGGAGCCAACGTTCTCTGTTTATTCTGAGGCCATTTCAAAGTTCTCATTTCAGCAATCTGTGCCAATGGAAGATGCTTAGGCCAAAGGCTGCAAACAAATTGCAAGGAATCTGCATGAAAATATTTTCAATGTAGGAAAAATAAGTTTGGGAATCAGCCCTTTTAAGGCATATGATGGATAGAAGAGGGCCAGAAAGGACCTCACAGTTCCCTATACACAACTCATATTTCTGTTGCTGTCTATTCAACAACAAAGCTACCAGAGTGACAGTTTACCTATACAAAATTAATGTGCAAGTGAATAAACAACTAAAGCATGTGAGTAAAATCTTAAAGACTAGATTCCACCATCCTTTATTCACTAAGCAACCTATTCTGTCACCCTGCTTTCCTTTATGGCTGAGAATAGAAAGTTAAGACTTAATGAATAGTTCCAGCTGGCCAGAACAAACCTAATGATTACAGATTACAATAGCACTTTACTATTCCAAGCTCTGAAATGAATGAGATAAAAATTGTATAGGAAGCTTGACTCAGCTTCCTGTCTGGTGTTACATCTTTCTTTTCAGATGAGCAACATGGATACTATAAAT